TGCCTCGTTGCTTGTTCTGTGCTACACAGTCTTAACGTACCGCAGAGTCGTTACAGAGCCGGAAGGTGCGTTTGCCTTGTGACGGTTGTGTTGTGTTGCATGTGTTGCGGAAGCTTTTCCAAAGTCCATATTTGACTTCCTGTTTGGAAACTGGTGGAGCCAAGCGTGTTTGTTTGTGTGTGTGTGTGACCATGTATCCCATTCTGCCAGAAATACGGAACGGAGATAGAAGATCTAGTTGGACGAGAACATTTTATATTCAGGGTTGAGCAGGCAGCGGCAAAGTGACAGGACTGTCAACACGAATCAACGAATGGAATCAAAACAACTTGCAATCTAAGATAATGGAATGTTGAAAGGAAGCGTTGAACAAGTTTGCACTGACTACACTATGCCCCGCAGTCGTTCAAACATGCAGTTTTGCTGCCCGCACAAACGCAGTCCACAAGGCAAAAAACCTGAGATCGCGAAAACTGCTGAGTCAACAAAGTCGAAACAGTTTGCGCACTCGGATTGGTGGAAGATGCAGCCAGTGCTTCTATACATGCTGGTTTTAGCCACGAATAAACATGTTTAGACACGGCTTTTTTAAACACGTTTTACACATGTTTACACACATTTAGACATGTTTACACACGAAAATGCTCGCGTTTAAAAAAAAAGATACACACGAACTATGATTTTTAGATTTTTTAGACACCCCCCTTGTACTGCAGCCACAGCGTTTATTTTTCAGGTCGTTTTTGCACACCAACCAATTTTAGACACCCCGCCTTGTACGGCGATGACGCGTCTATAAAATCTAAAATTGATCTCTAGGGCGCCCGCCCGCCCGCCCGCCCGCCCGCCCGCCCGCCCGCCCGCACGCACGCACAAAACGACATGTGTGTGTGTGTGTATATACATATATAATTATATGATGATGATGATGATATATGTATATATATATATGCATATATATAATATAATATATATATATATATAATATGAACACACATGAGCGCTGATCAATATTCCTTGTTCTGGAAAGGGTTTCTGTCCGGATTCCTTGATGTCTTTCGCAAATCCGAAACGAGTATTCGGAGCCAGGAAGCGCCGACCATGCGGTGACGCGCCGCTTTGCAGCATTGCCAGATTTCGTTCTGTGAGCTTCCTAGGCAGCGGGACGTTCTTCAAGAGCTTTGCCAGGTTGAAGGGTTCTTGACGTTGTGCACACAGCACTTGCAGATGCTCTCGAGATGCAATCCGGAATGCAAGCAGCACCTCAGACCCTCTGAAAAGCCCGGCGGTCTCTGCGGTGTACAATCGTGAATCCAGGTGAGATGCGCTGGCGAAGAAAAACTGATTACCGTGAGAGTGCCCACAAGGCTTTGAAGAACCGTGTCTTGCCTGAGCTGCACGGCACTTGTGACGCGTGAGATTGGCAAAGACGGGTCACAAACGTCCAGGCTCGTGTCAGAGACCGAGTCTTAACTGCATCAGGCATGTGATTAGATGCGGCTTGGACACGCAAAGGTGACAGTGGCCTCCAGCTGACATGCGCCGAGCAGATCCAGTCCATCTAAGGCGAAGCTGCTCTGCTTTTCCTCGTCGTAGGCGTGGAGTACCTCTTGTAGCTGCCTGGCCGAGACTCTGCACAAGCGCGCTCTGCAATCCGTGATGCTGCCGCCTGCTGAAGGACTTCGGACCGGTCCCCTTGGAAAGGTCAAAGACGCTCAGCCCTTCGAAGTCCATTGCCTGCACTCAAGCGCAGGATTGTGAGGCATTTAAATAATGGCGGCCGTTGAGACAGCACCATAATGTAGAGCCACATTGCTGAGATTCAGCGAAAGCGACATATTTCAGAGACTTTTGCCAGGTATAGCTTATCCTTCATGCAGGTACCAGCCCGCCTGCCCGACCGAGGTACACAGGGCTTGAAAGCCCTTCGACACGCTGAGGATGTCGAAGGTGTTGGCGTCGAACAAGACGGACACCTGCAATCCAACTTATACAGCAAGCAGAACCCCTTGGCACGCGAAGTCTGACCGTGACCTATGCCAAACTGATCATTTTTCGGCACAATGTCCTTTGTCTTGGGCCCTGACGAACCAAGCTATGCTGATCCCTCTATTCTTCTCGCTTTGAATTGGCCAGCACATCAAACATGCTTGCAACCTCGACTGCTGCGTCTGCGATCCTACCCTTGCCTTTCCACTGCCACCCCCGCCCGCCCCCCATTCAGTCTCACCTCTTCCTGAGCAGCCATTGCTGCTGGCGGGCTCTCCTCACTTCTCAGGATCTGTTGGGAAGACAGGGCCGGCGCCACGGAAGCCAGATCCTGACATTGTGCTGACGAATCATCGCGGGTGCAGGTCTCCGGCTTGCTTGACTGAAGTCTCAAGGTTGGGGCAACAAGGATTTTGGTCTTGCGACACCTCGAGCAGGTAAACAGCGATGAAGAATAGCAGTTGCATGGTGCTACTGCTGCTCACCTCCACCACTCCTCCTTCTCCCTCCACCTCCGCCTCCTCCTCCCGCTCCTCCTTCTCCTCCTCCTGCGCCTCCTACCAGCACCAGCATCACCACCACTGCACCAACTACTACTAAGAATAGGATAGCACAATAACTGTGCACGATGATAGCGACAACCAATGAGAATATGAACTTGTGGCCCGATAACAAGACAAGAAAACCAAACGAACACAATAATAAGACCCATAATCAGGAGAACAATAGCAAGAATAGCAGCAGCTACTCCTCCTCCTCCTCCTCCT